CGCATAATATAGGAACCCATCTGAACAAAATTCCAATTTAGTATACCATCAGTTTTAGGAAATTATAAAAGTTAGTCAGGTGTATCTAATTACATATCTAAAAGTTATTAACATGATTATGTTTAGAGAATACCAGCATTGTAAAGCCAAAGAAACAATTTTTCATGTGTAGTTTTTTTTATTGAAATTATTATTATTTTCCTGAATGTTTTTTATTATTTTCCAATTGGTACTTTAACAATTACTGTAGATGTATTTGAATCTTTGGCCATTTCGAGAAAGGCGTTGAACATATTGTGATATCCTTCGATTATCAATTCATTATATTTGAGTGATCCTTCTTGAACCCACATTAAATTTTGGTAAATCGCGTCTGTCCAGTCAGTGTATCGGCTCACTAAATATCCTTGAATACGTAGTTGCTTTCTTACAATCGATGGCTGTACTATGGGAGCTAAAATTTATAAAATGGTATACATTTAGTCTCATTACATATTATTAAATATCTTTACCTTTGTTAAAATTGAACATACTATCTTCGTTGCTGTAATTTTGGTGAAAACCACACACTGCTACTCTTCCTAAGGTGTTCATATTATTTAATACTCTAGTACTAATTGTACCACCGACCTATAGGATAATAAGTAAAGTTAAAATGTTACGAAATTTTAAAAAATAATTAAAACAATTTAAAGTTTACATTGTCAAAGTAACAGTCGACACCATTCGGCGCATATTTCTGTAAAAGTTGTTGTAAATTATCCTTCTTTTGATTTATATAGTAATTAAAACCAAGTTCGTTTGTTATCCATTCACCCTGTTCATCCGATTCTGTGATACCAATAACGGTACAACCCTTTATTTTAGCTATTTGTCCTGCTATGGTTCCAACTGTTGAACTTGCTCCAGATATTACCATAGTTTCTCCTTTTTTCGGCTGGCATATATCGAGTATTCCAAAATACGCTGTTACCCTAAAATACTTTTACGTGTATCGTATATCTATCTATGTCTGTAAACTGACGATTTAATATAGACAATAAGCCACTGATAAAAATATTTTAACAATATCAATAACTCATTTATTAAAAAATTTATTGAAAATTTTGGTGGAGGCGCCGGGAAAAATTATAACAGACGCTTTAATTGATCTGTAATTCTGGTTTTATTGAAGTAAATTGATCAATTTTCATTTTTAAATTATATTTTTTCCATTTAGACGAAGTTACAGATGTTAATATGTATTTTCTTTTTTACAATAAATTAATATACAATTTCTAATAGACTATGTAAGCAACCCAACATACAGCAAATATTACAAGTTACAGCTGTAATAGTATTAGTATAAAGAAAACTTAAAAACTATTGTTCTCATGGAAATGACTTTTTTTACATGAAACTTTATACTATCCTAGACCAAACCATCAAATATTGCGTAAAAATAATTAATTACTTAGTAATAGTTTTAAGGACATCATTTTGGCGGAGGCGCCGGGATAATTCAAAACTACGACTGCAATTAAGCTATAAGTTCGGTTTCATTGAAGTGGATTAATTAATTGTCGTCTTCAAATTTTGTTTTCTTAAATGTAAATACTTTTTGGGATACTTATTTATATTTTTCGTTTTACAATTATCAACTGCAAGTTGTAATAATACTAATAGACAACCGTGGTGTGTAGCAATGCAGTGAAGTTTGAAAAAGGACTGGATTGATAAAAAACGATAATAATAATTTAGCAAGGTTTACCAAGTTTGGATATAAATATATTACAAATTTCGCTATGTCACTGGTAAACTTTTTACGAAACATTTTTTAAACAAGCCTAAAAACTTATTGATAATAACTACACAAATATTATTACTTCGATTGATTAGATCTTTGTCAAGAGTATTTGTTATTTCTTTGTACTTTTGACTTAAAACTTTTTTGAAACATTACAAAGCATTTTTACGATTAAATAGGATAGATATGTGTTGGTTATTTTACCATTTGTCATTGTTCATGGAATCGTTCTTTTCCGAAAATTTTGCCGTTTTTCAGTAATGACTGCTGGTTGAGTCGTGATTGATATCTAAGGTTGCCAAAATTTTTGTGGAGAAAGCAAAAAATAGACAAAGATATGTTGCTATTTATTTATTTTTATTAAAATTATATTTCTTGCGCTTCTTGCATTTTTTGTTTGCAATAATAGTATCATAAGCTTTGTTACATTAAATTTTTAAATTAATGTAAACCAAATTTCGAATTCATAACCGAATATATCCCTTCTGTGAAAGCCGAATAGAGAGCAGAAATGAAATTGCTTTATATAAATTTGGTAAGTTATTTTCAGTATTTTTCAAAATATACTGGCATTTTTGGCATGTAGTTTTGCTTACTACAATTTTTTACTTTTGCAAACTTTCATTTAATATTGTTATTTCAGAGCAATTTCGATACTCAATTTTTCTAGTAAATTTAGAATTTCTAATATTGCCTGACAGTCATTAAATGAGACCTCTTGTTTTAAATTTAAACTTGGATTTTGTATAACCAATTGCTTTCCCCAAAATCTAACCACTAATTAGTATAGTCTTAATATCAACATCAATAAATACCAAAATATTATTTTGAATTTCATAACTTTCTGTGGGAGAATGTACTTCTAAAGATTGCATCATTTTTTTGGTTTCAGATTTGAACTTTAGGGTTTCCATTAATTTCATTCATTATAAAGGCGCGTGCATAAATTTTTAAAATGAAGGATTTGTTTGTTTATTTGGGTGTTGAAAATATAATATTTTTGCGTACTATATATTTCTTCGACAGTATATATATATAGTACAATATTATCTATTATAGTACGGTTGGCAACGCTACTGATATCAGTTGCAACATTTGGAAAAGAAAGATTCCATGAATCAGTCTAGAGCAGTGATTCCCAACCGGTGCTTCGCGAACCCCTGGGGGTTCGCAGTGTTTGCAGAAGGGGTTCGCGAAAATAATATTGTAATGGCGGATTTTTTAAAACGCCAATAAAATGCCTGTTTGTTAGGAAATCTATAATAAATTTCAATATTTTCATATCTTTTTTACTTATTTGTTTTTCAAAATTACTTCATCAATATCAAAATATATCAACAATTTTATACATTAAAATCTATTCCTCTTATTCAAGTAATCAAATACTATTTATTCTCTTTTTATTACAAACATTTATTTATATTTAAACCATTTTATCAATGTGATTAGTATCATGTTCTGCTTTATAATTAAAATCATTGCAGCAGTTTTCCGTTCTATGTAATATTTTTTTTACAATACAATTTGAAATAAATATCAAATTAAAGCAGTTTACTGCATTTACATCATTTTAGTCTTATTAATGTTTTATTTAAATATTTCACAATTAACATAATCGATTATTATGCAATATGAAAAAGTATATATTCTATCAAATTTTATTGCTTTTTTACCTGTCAATATTTAACGACTACATAGGGGATTCGTCAAATTTTTTCGGACTTTTCTTTTGGTTCGCGAGGACAAAAAGGTTGGGAAACACTGGTCTAGAGCAATTCGGGATGCTATTAATGATAAAAAAGTATAGAAATAGAATTATTTTACCCAGGTATGCCTAAAATTCCCACCCCTAGCGAAACAGGTAGCTTTCCCAACTCAGGAAGTAGCACAGGAGCTGGATAATCTCCATTGTCGATTCCATTTGAAATAGTATGCGTCCTCCAACCAAAACATGAGGTCACATATCTTCCAACGGGAAAATATTTATTTCTGCTTTCCGTTATTCTAAAAAATATTTCCTCTGTGCGTTAATTAATTAATTATAATAAATTAAACAAAAGCACAATTGTATTTTGAACATTTGAACGTAAACATGTTATATATATTCATTTAATTTAATTATTTATTTGCTGATAATCCAAATTATATATTTCATATGTTATTATCTTAGAATGGAACTATCAAACATGCATTATTAAGTCGATCTGCTTAATATTAATCATTTGGCCCTTTAAATCCATAATCCTTAGCTTGTAAGGTGTGAGCTATTAGACAATTATTTATTATACAGAAAATTGCTTGAAAGAATTTTGGTAAACGTTTCGTAGTTATTAAATAATTTAACTCTCATAAACTGCATGCTGAATATTAATTTTCTCCCTTGTTTATGTTTGATTTTCTTTATTTTAAATTCTACAAAGAAGACAAGAGGAATATTATGTAGGTAGGTACATAACAGTTTTTGAAAATCATGTTATTAGTATTTCTACGTGTGGTTTGTTATCGCCCATTTAATTAATTTGTTTAAAAAGGAGTTGTAAAATGCTACCTCGCCACTTGCGTTCCAATAAACGTAGAACCAATTTTTGAAATTGGTTCAAATGCCTTCATAAATGGGTCCACACTCAAATATTCAGCCTCCACTAAAAATTCTGTAAGAAAGCAGCAAAACGTGTTGTTGTGTGACATTATTACGATTAATAAATATTAATTTTTTAAGGTAAATAAAAGTCGAAAGAACTTTACCTCCATCTTCTAATGGTGGTAACTCCTCTTCTACTAGTTTTAACTCGTAAGTCTTTGGCCACGTGTGGTAATGTTGCCTTAAAACGTATTTTTTTGCGGTAACCATTTTCACAAATTCATTTAAAAACACGATTAGCAATAGCACATGAGTAGTAGCAAGTAAGATATCATTTCTACATTATTGTCAAGTACCGTTTAGATAAAGAATTGTAAATTGATAACTATGATATTAAGTGTTTGTAGTCGATTTTGATATAGACAGCATTGCTTACTGCATAAACTGCCTTGAACGCATTTTAAAGGTACTTCTATATTATCGGTATTATTTGGATAGATGTTAGAATAAATAAAGAATTGCTTTAATTGTGAATAACTAAGAAAAAATATGTCGTACATTTTTAAGTAGACTGAAAAAAAGGTACGATGTTTTTCTTTAGCTACAACTAATTAAAGTTCTTATTAGACATTATTCAACTGAATTTATATTATAAAACTTGCTTTTTCCCTATTTTGTATATCACTACTGCTGGCCAGTTAAGTATACAAGGTGGATTACAGAAGGTTTTGGGATAGATACTCAATCAACTATGTCCCAAGAAGTATAGCAATTTCTTTAAGAATAAGGGCGTTTTTTGTAATCCACCCTATATATATAGGGATATTTTATTAGGTAAAATCATCAAAAAAATACAACGTGTTATAAGGTATATCACATAAATTATTTCGAACAGGTATTTTCGTTTTATTAATTTAAAAATAATTAAGGAAAACCTACGGTGTTACCGTTTTTGATAGCTAAATGCAACAAGTGGTTATGATTTGTGAGAAACAGATTATATTTTGATGACGATGAGTCTCTATTTCGTTGTCATGGTGTAATCAAAATCGTAAGAATAAAGAACAAGGCCAACATGTTGAAATACCTGAATGTGAACAGCATAAAGTTTTGCGAGATGGAAACAGGGCAATATTCTTTTCAAAGTTACGGAAAATTGCTAATTATTTTAATGTTTTTATAGACGAAATCTGAAAACCGAAGTCACGGTAGTGACATCGTAAAATTAACACGTACATGTTTCAATAGGTTGGTGTTTACGATAATATTATTTAGATTTGTAAGTTGCTTCAACTTACGGGGTGCGTTCCGAAAGTATTTACACTTACAAGTCCGCGTTGATATCGTTCCCATCAGTGCTTCCGGGTCCTGCAAGCATCCTGGAACTTAGTTTTCGGAATAATCGTCAGTGCATTTGTCTTATTCGATTTGTTTTTTCTTCTCTGTCCTGGGCGCACAAACTCAAATTTTCGTTTAGAATTTTCTCGAAACGGAAGTAAGGACTAAGGAGTAATTGAATATAGGTACTCGTGCCCTAAAAAAGTCGCTCAAACTTATCTGGCGCAGGTCGAATACTTTTGGGAGACACCTTGTACAGAGTTAATAAAATTTTTATGCTTGCCTGTATGAAGTAAGATAAAAATCGAAACAAATGTGGATATTACACGTCGTATAGTGCTTCGTCATCTACATATAATATTTTGTGGTCGCTTATTTTGAATGCCGGCGTTTGTATTAAGTATAAATGCACATGGTACGCGTTTGTTTTGATCAGTCTTTTTTAGTTATCGAAATCGTTAACGATATAATTATATCATTCTATTTCACTGACGCGTATTTCTGAAACCTACAAACTTACGCGTATTTTTTTAATAAAAACGAGTGTTTCTGGTTACCTGGTTATAATCTTTTCGTGGTTTTAAAAACAAATAGTAAAAGTTGACATATCCTCTTACCTCATTTCCAGCAACTTCGGATAAAAAAAAGATAAAAACATTTTTCATTTGAGATTCCGGTAAATACATTTAAGAAAGTGATAAAATATCGACAGCAGTTTTCGTAAAACGTTGGTAAAAGAAATTCATTTCACTTAAATATTTGAAAATGGTTGTGGCTAAAAAATATGTGATACAAAAACACAGAAGTGGTTTACTTCAGCCAGAAGATGTGAAAATAGTAGAAGAAGAATTGCCAGAACTGAAGGAAGGAGGTATATCTATGATGTATAATTAAGCAATTCTTCTGGTTTTGTACTTTTATCCTTTTTATATAGCATATCATTAAAACACATAAACGTATACATATATAAAGCGTATATAAAGTTTACTTAAAAACAGAAACTTGACCAAGTTCAAGTTCAGACAATATTCTATCTTGTGAATTCTACTATCTTCGTAATTGTTTTTTCATACCTTGATTGAAAATTTCAAACAAAATTTTACAAAATTTGTTTCCATGATATGTAAACTACACTAGTTACCTAATGTGGCTTGTCACTAACAATTACCTCAATCGATCAAATTTCAAAAATGTAGGGACATTGTATGTAATTTACAAAATTCTCATAAGTGAACAAACTAAGGTGAAACAAAAAAAACCTTTTATGTTACAAATTAAACAGAAGTTGCAAGTTACTTTCTTTTGTTACAATTAATAAAAACTTTGTAATTTAAATTTTAAAAATATCACTTTGTAGAGTAAGATCTGTTTTCAAAAAGGGCTTGTCCGTAAAAAATGTCACTTACAATTTCACCTTTTTTGGGTCCTTTTTCGCCCTTCGTCACGCCAAGTCATACTTTCAAATATTACGTCACAAAAGTTAGCTTACCCCTTATAAACGATTTCTTGTGACTACACGGAGAAAACTAAATTTTTATAGCAAAGCAAAAATTACAATTTTCGATTGTATCGTAAATGAATTTGCCGTAGAAATTAATAGTAAAATTTTAGATAACTTGTAACAATCTCAATTTTGACATGCTTGTTTAAAAATTATTTCAAGTTTCTTAATTATTACAATTAAATTTGTAATATCAACTAAAATACTTAGTAAATTTATTTCTGCTGGGATTTTATTTTTACAAATTCGGGTCCAAATTGTAATTTTTATTATTTTCGCTTACGAAGCATGTGGCTAGTGGGATAAACTATAAATATCGCTTTAATGTTTAGGTAAATTTCCATTTTTCATTTTATCCGTGTAAAATTTGTTAATTCTACACGAAGGAAGACTTGAGGAAAATAATTTTTGAAGTTAATTGCAAATCATCACGACCGTCAAACACATATTTATTTATTTACAGATTTTTAAGCACTTGAGAATGACTTTCTATTGTAATGAAAAATTTTAAGAGCTACCAAGTTAAGAAAAAAATTAAAATAAAATTGATGATCGGCGACCCCTCCCCTTGTCATATCTTGTCACTATAAGCAGTACCCCTTCCTGCCCCTTGTTTGCAAAAGTATTTTGTGAATGGCTCCAAAATGAAAACGTTTTCGGTAACGTTTCTGTTTGTAGATACTAATTTTAAAGTAATTAATAATAATATTCCTGTAAAATGAACGATGAAAATATTCTTTCAGAATTTTTGGCGCAAGCGCATTTCATAAGTATTGATCCTTATATTCAGTACTTAATTCATGATGAAGAGAAACACCCAGTAGGTTCTACAATACCAGGAACCCAAATTGCATTGTAAGAATCTTTATTATCGAAAAATATCTGTATTTTTAATAAATTCCTAATAGTGATGAGCGAAATTGGTCTTGGTGTTGCAGTATTAGTCTTTGTGCAAAATGCAAGATGAAGACCAATACCAAGACTGCCTTTATACTAGTAAGACTAAAAGGCTGAACAAAGAAAATCAAAACCAAATAAGCAAGTCTAAACGAAAAATTATTAATATTAATGTGAAAATTCATTTTCGATTTTTCATCCTCTACAAATTACCTGGAGTTAATGGATGAAAAATCGAAAATGAATTTTCATATTAACCGCTATTAGTAATTAAAAATCAAAAATTATTTTCTTGGAACAAAACGTTTTTAGTATTTAAAATTTTCAATTNCTGCACATTTTTCTTGGAACAAAACATTTGTAGTATTTGTAATTTTCAGTTTTCTTAACTAGGTTTTAACACTAAATATAAAAAAAAACATTACAACTGTTTAAAAAAAAAGTATCTGCAAGAATGTCCTGGGACAGTCTAGGTCTTATTTTGCTTATCATTAATTCATAGAAACAGTTGATGATATTATCTACTTATATTTTTCATTATAGAATATACGATAGCAAAAATCCTAAATTTCCCATTGGAAAATACATTTACGGAAATTTTGGTATGCGTACTTACACAATTGGACCATTGAAAGATGATGATCCATATGGAATGCCTCCTCAATATATTCTACCTGACTTTAACTCTTATCCTTACAGCTACGGATTGGGAATATTGGGAATGCCCGGGTATATATACTAAACGAAGAAGCACGTTGATTTCCTGATTATTTTTATTTTTTTATTACGATAGTATTACTGCCAATAAAGGCTTTCTTGGGCTTTGTAAACCGCAACCGGGTGAAACGGTAGTTGTAACCACAGCAGCAGGCGCCGTTGGCAGCGTTGTAGGTCAAATAGCAAAAATTAAGGGATGCAGAGTTGTGGGCATTGCTGGATCCGATGAAAAGGGAAAGTGGTTGGTCGATGTACTTGGATTTGATAAATTTATTAATTATAAAAGGCCTGATTTCGCTAAGAAGTTAAAAGATGCTGCCCCAGATGGAATCGACTGCTATTTTGACAATGTGAGTGTAATATAGGATCATATACGAAGTAGGTATTAAATCAGTGGTTTCCAACCTGTGGGGCGCGCCCCCTAGGGGGACGCAAAACTGTTGCAAGGGGGGCATGCAGCTGTTTCCAAAATATCATTTTCGAATACAAACCAAAAAAGTTGAATAGGGGTCAAAAAAATTAATCAGCAAAATAGGTATGCGTAATCAACAATCCTCGCTGCGAAGTTTTCGGGTACAAATGTTAAAACATCCATCCATACTCTTGCTGGAATATCAGTCGAGTATTTATGAAACTAGATTGTTGGAAAAATTAAGGGGGCGCAACAATTTTTTTTAAGGGGGGCGCAGGTACAAAAAGGTTGGAAACCACTGTTTTAAATACTGGTGATAAGTGAAGAGTTTACATTTGCTGAACAGGTTTATGTTAAAGTTCGACGTAGGAAGTGTCGGATTTGACGACAGGCCGAAACTTGGACCAGTAGTGTAAAGCCAAGCATGCGCTTGTGAATATTAGTCCAAAGTTCAGTCAATATTCAAATGCAAATAATTAACTTTTCACCAAGTTTCGACCAATAGTGGGACAGCCAAGCACCAACTTGTCAATGCTGGTTCAAAGTTCGGGTAATCTTTAAATGGCAAGGCCAGGTTTATAAACGTTTCGCCAAGGTATATCCAATACCATGCAACGAAGTATTGGCTAAGATGGAAAACGATGCACTTGCCAAATCTTTGATTAATTTTGTCCACCAAGTCTTGACATAATATTAGCTAACCAATCTTGAGTTAATATTATGTACCAAGTTTTGCCACAATATTGGCTGATCAATTTTGGGTTAATATTGTCCATTAAGTCTTGGTATAAGATTGGCTGACCAATTTTGGATTAATATTGTTCATTAAGTCTTTGCCCAATATTGGCTGCCCGATCTTGGGTTAGTACTATTCACTAAGTTTTCGTGGGTCGTGAACCAAGCTTGCCAATCGGGCTTGGGCAGAAGTAACAAACGAGGGATTGGCCATGCTAGGTCCAATATTGGTTGCCAATCTTTTGACTCAAGATTGGTCCTGTCGTGATGTCCTGTTTGGACTGTCGACCTACGGAGATTGCTTTCTAGTTAGTGTATCTTTTTATCAATCGCAAAATTTATTTGTTTTATAGGTTGGTGGTGAAATAAGTAGTATTATATTAAGTCAGATGAATAAATTTGGTCGTATATCTGTATCTGGATCTATTTCTGCGCATAATGTCGAGTCTGGTGAAGAACCCAAAGGTTGGTTATAACTTCATATATATATACAGAACGTTTTTACCTCCAAATTACACTTATAACAAAATAATTAAATGTTTATTTTGTAACGACTTATTACAAGTTTCGTTTGCATCAATAAAAAACGATTTCTTTATTGTCAAATCAGAACTACTTCTCAAAAAGCATTAAAAAAAAGTGGAATGTAATGAATGCCAAATATTCGTCACTACTTTTGTGATGAATCTCGCTCCTTTTTTTAGCTTCAATTGTTCAAAGGCACTTGGTTTTAAGGCAGTTAAAAATGGAAGGCTTTATGGTTACGAGATGGAGAGATGAATGGTTTGAAATTATCAATCAAAATTTACAATGGTTAAGAGAAGGTAAACTCAAGTATAAAGAGCACATTGTTTGCGGTTTCGATAATTTTCCCAAGGCTGTTGTTGATCTCATGACTGGCGCTAATACAGGAAAAGTTATTTTGAATGTTATGGGTTAAAAAATGCTATATGTGGTTGACCAATCTGTTCTGTATCATTACCTTATAAATATTGTACAATCTATGGTCTTACCTCAATTTGTAAGCGGACTTAGTCTCATACTTTTGGAATGTTCAAACATAAGATTTTACTTATCATGATTTTGAATTCTTAACATGATGCTCATGACTTATTTGTAATGTAATATACGTTTTGATATTGACGCATTACGTGAATTAGTTTTAATTTGTGATAAAATTAAGAATTGGATGAAGTTCTACCTTCGACTATAATTTAACGTTTTTGCATGTAACTGTAAACTGTACTGTACTAATCAGTTAAAGATTAAAACAGTTAAACAACCTAAAGCAGATGTTAATTGATACCTTTAATTTATAATTGCATGTTTAATCCCAAATTGTAATGCTGAATTTTATATGAGATTTTCCAAAAAATTTTCTTCAGGATTTTCTTTCACCAGACAATGTAATGCGGGTAGCAATAGATTGACGGTTTAAAAAAATGCATATATCTAATAATATAATCTACATGAAACAGTTTGACATCTAGCAGTGCTTAACATATCAAGTATTAATGTGAAAATTCATTTTCAATTTTTATTCACTTTAAATTACCTTAAGTTAATGAAGAAAAATTAGTTGCTATTGCCATGCCCTCGTCGGGAATCGAACTCGAGACCTTTGGCTTTACGCACCAAATTTGTCCTCATTAATTTGAGGTAAATAAATAAATTTTCACATTAATATTATGTTCGATCGTCAATTAAAATTTAATCAAAATCGCATTCAAAAACTATCGTTACTACCATAAGTTCTGCATAGCTTTTCACCACGTAGAACGTGGATGTTTTTTTTCCTTTTTCACAAAAGCCTATTTTTACAATTCAGTAGATTTTGAAAATTTTGATTTGAGAACTTTCAAAGGCCCAATGCCTCTTTTGGACGGTTTAAACTAAAAATAATCAATCGAATCTAAACTAAATAAACTAGAAAAAAAAACAATAGAAAAATATTTTTAATTTCTATACAAGGAATAAATGTGATAAAATCTGCTCCTCCTGATGTTCTAGGCAGATTTAGATTTGATAAGCTACAGACTGGAAAACTGGGATTTATTTGCCTTCACACAGTTTTCAGACAGAAATGCTAGGTAATCCAATATAATTTTCAATCGGAATTAAAATAAATGAACCACTATATATGTCGTAAATCAAGGCACGTATTAGTGAAAATGCGGAAAACTTAATTTTTCGCTAGCTTGCTTCACGTAAAAATCAAATTTTGTAACAATTGAATAAGAATTTATCCATTAAAATTTATTACTTTCAAATGGGCCCTGTCTTGTATCTTTTTACGCAAAGTAATCATTCGTTATGGATTGTACCTTACTTTTGGTACAGGTCAAAGCCTTACTATTATCTACAATCAAATACCTTCTAGAAGACTTTTCACAATTACACAAACACTTTTCTTTTATAGGATTATGAAATGAGAAGTTAATTTTTGTTAAAACTGAATCCGAATTTTATATTTGCTAGCTATTGTTGACTACTTATTATTATGTTGTAATTTGATATTATTATTTTAAAATTGTTGATAACTCCAAGTTTTAGTTCAAAAGCTCTCCGCACTACGGTCTTCGATTGCGCCAGCAGTCTTTTAGTCCTGCCTCTGCTGATCGTGTCCTCACATACGTAACCAACTGGAAAATTCCGCAGTTGTTTCCTATTTTTCAATGCTGATGTATTTTCGTGTAATCGTTTTCGAAAAATTGCAATTTCTGCAAGCTCGGGCAGCAAAATATGTAGTGAAATCAAAAGTGAAATATGTAATGATATAAATATTTATATTTGCTAAGGTCGCATTAATATTTCATTCATTATGAAATATTGTTATTTAATAAAACCATCATATGCTGTTATCAAGCTAGTATGTGTTACCTACTCATGGATAAAACCAAGACAGTGTTTTGTGTAATGTGGAGTATTTCTAAGAAGTACCCAATAATAAATTAAAACTACTTTCTGGTGAGTTTTTGTCATTGATCTTTTTTCTAGAAATTCCGGTGATTAGGGTAGAATTTTGAAGTTTTTCTTTTGATGTGATGATGGGGCATGTTTCAGTTTAATCTTAAACTATTTTTATAATTTCCTAGCAGTTCAGCTCCAATTGTAAGCAGAGTAATTCAATTTATACGAAACTCGCACTTGCAGTTGTTTAATCAAAAATTGCTTCTGCAAATGTTTTGAAAATTACTATTGCAGTGTATTCTGTACAGAAGAATGTTTATATTTTTTAATTTATGGGCTCAAAAAGTTAATACAACCGTAACCGCTCACCTCTATTTTTCGCAATTTAACGGTACTTAAGCCTGGCTCGTTAGCTAGTCTAGCGGTAATACGGTCGCAGATCGTAGGTTGACTGCCTAGACGCTGAGTGAGGGTACCTATAGCAAAGCGTTATTAGGTGGAATAGGCCAAACGGGCGACTGTAAGTCCGGCGGTGTATTACCCCCGTATTTTCCACTGTTCCAGTTATCGGTTAATCGTCGAGTCCGACTTCTCAGGTATCCTTCATCACGAAGAGTTCGTGGTGGAGCTGGGAGGCGGGTGTCGGCGTTTAACTGGTAGCTGGAGGAATGTTAAATGCGGGTTTTTTGCACTTTTTCGCAGTAAAATTTAAATATAACTTCTAAATTAAATTATTTTTACTTGGCTATTACTTAGTGTCATTACAAATTCATTGTAATAAAAGTATAGTAAAGTGATTTTAATGCTAAAGCTGTTCAATCATTGTAGATTGTCGTAGTCTATCTGTAATATTTAAATAAAACAGAGTTTCTTCAGTAACAGACCATATTTTGCATTTTTTCCCACTTTTATATCTTCGATGAAAAGTCGATAAAAGAAAACAAATAATTGCAGGTATTAATGAAGGTACCAACTATTTTGTTTAAAAAATTACTTCGTTACTTTTATATTAAACTTCATTAAACTTGCGCATACAAATAGAAATTTTTACTTCATACTGATATTTTGGGGGTAATTTCGAAATTTTAATGAAACGACGTTGAGTGCTCTTTTATTGTATGGCAGCTATACTATCATCGAGGAAGTTATAATCTATTTTTTATATTTTTAAATATAATAAAGCTGTTATTGTAGTTAATATTAGTTATAACATTTTCCCAAGCGTAATTTTCTATCTTTTATTCTCCGAATACTTGCTCTCTCATCAGTCGTATGCTTGAACGGTCGACCGAGAGAACAAAACATTTTCCTCGTGTTGATGTAAATAGTAATTAATAATGTGTTTTGAAAATTAATGCATTATGTTTGTATGAATTAAGCTTTTTCTAAAGTTCTATTAGAAAGAGAATATGCCAGTTTATCTATTGTGTAATGAGAGGGGTATAGTTTCGGAGATTAACGAACCAAAGCTGAAAGTTCTTACACTGATTAAATATAAAAATGCTCCCTTTGTAATTAAGAATAAAACAGGAGGTTATCTAATTGTTGGGATGGTATACCATTCTAGACTGCCATATTCAATTTTTAATTTATGACTACAGTTGTGAACCATAATCCTTAAAAATCTCAAAATTGAGCCCAAAGATCCATTTGTGAAATTTTTATAAAATCGAACACATACTAAACATTTATATTCATTGCAGCAACCCTTGGTTTACTGCTCTATACGGAGGTAAAGATTAGCTGGAAGGCTTATACTGGAACTATGTTAACTGGTTGCTGCCGCAAGTGTAAGTACTTTTTTAATTATTCAAACTATAGTACCTTTTTCTCTTAATTGGTTGTATCCTTCAAAACCAAAAGGAAATAATAGTACAGTAAGATGTTTTCGTGTAACAGCAATTTAATGTGAGCTTATTTTGATCTACATCGTTTCTTTCATTTCGTTCCCAAAATGCAGTAATTCAGTTGCGGACTTCAAAATTGCACTCAAAATCTGAAAGCACCACTAAATTCTACGTTATATTTTATTCCGCTTTTATAGTTCGGAAGGGTGTTTTCACCTAATCGTAATTTAACGTGCGCTTTTTTTGGTATACAACTTCTTCCCTATTATAATCATTCAGTAGAGGACTTATTTGATATCGTACTCGAATTCTGAAGGCACCGTTAAATTCTACGCACTGTTTTACATCTACCTCCCCTACCATAGTTCGGAAGGGTGTTTTCATTTAATCGTAATTTGAGGTGCGCTTTTTTTGTCCCACAACTTTTTGCTATTTTAACCATAGATAATTCCGTAGCGGACTTATCTAAAATCGCACTTGAAATCTGAAGGCACTGTTAAATTCTAGGTAACTTTTTACATCATACTCCCCTACTATAGTTCGGAGAGGTGTTTACCTCTAATCGTAATTTACCGTGCGCTTTTTTGGTTTACACCTTTTTTCTATTTTAACCATAAATAATTCAGTAGCGGACTTATTTTAAATCGCACCCGAAATCTGAGGGTACCATTAAATTTTACGTACTTTTTGACATAATCCTCCCCTATTATAGTTAGAAAGGGTTTTTCCACCTAATTGTAATTTATCGTGCGCGTTTTTTGTCTACACCTTTCTCTCTATTTTAACCATAGATAATTCAGTAGCGGACATATTTAATATTGCACGCGAAATCTGAGGGCACCATTAAATTTTTCGTAGTCTTTTACATAATCCTCCCCTATTATATTTCGAGTAGGTGTTTTCATCTAATGGTAATCTAACGTGCGCTTTTTTTGGTCCACACCTTTTTTACTTTTACTATTTTAACCTTAAATAATTAAGTAGCGGACATATTTGAAATTGCACTCGAAATCTGAAGGTACCATTTCTGCGTAATCGTTTACTATTGTAGATCGGAGTACGAGAATTTATTTAAAGAAATTTGCTTTTTTTTTGATGGACATTATCATGCATTGTTTTACGTAAAGTAATAATTCATTATGCGGCGCTTCAAAGCTTCACTCTTACTTACCATCTGGAAGTGCAGAAACGCTAAGTGTCTTTTCAGAAATGCATAAATACTTATATTTTGTTGTAAAATGAACAGTTAATTGTTGATATAAATTAATGCGAATTTTATAGTTGTTAATTGTAGGCGACTCTTTCTATGTTGTAGTTTTATTATGATTTTAAAATTGTTGATAACTGCGAGTTTTAGTTCAAAAGCTCTCCGTACCACGGTCGTCGATTGCGCCACCAGTCTTTTAATTCTGCCTCTGTTGATCGTGTTCTCACATACGTAAGAAACTGGAAAATTCCGTAGTTGTTTCCTATTTTCGGGCAATAATGTGTATTCATTAAATCGTTTTCGAAAAATTGCAATTTGTGCAGG